TGGGGAGACAGGTGTGAGGGGACAGGTGTGAGGGGACAGTGCTGAGGGGACAGGTGTGAGGGGACTGTGCTGAGTGGACAGTGCTGAGGGGACAGTTGTGAGGGGACAGTTGTGAGGGGACAGGTGTGAGGGGACAGGTGTGAGGGGACTGTGCTGAGGGGACAGTACTGAGGGTACAGTACTGAGGGGACAGATGTGAGGGGACAGTACTGAGGGGACAGTGCTGAGGGGACAGTTGTGAGGGGACAGGTGTGAGGGGACAGGTGTGAGGGGACAGTACTGAGGGGACAGTACTGAGGGGACAGATGTGAGGGGACAGTGCTGAGGGGACAGTGCTGAGGGGACAGGTGTGAGGGGACAGGTGTGAGGGGACAGTACTGAGGGGACAGGTGTGAGGGAATTGTGCTGAGGGAACAGTGCTGAGGGGACAGGTGTGAGGGGACAGGTGTGAGGGAACAGTGGTGAGGGGACAGTGCTGAGGGGACTGTGTTGATGGGACACCTGTCAGGGGACAGGTATGAGGGAATGGGATGTGTGAGGGGACAGCATTGAGGGGCTAGAGGACATGTAAGGGAGATCAGGTGTGAGGGGACTGGTATGAGGGAGAGAGGACAGCAATGAGGGGACAGAGGACAGATGTAAGGTGTGAAGGGGACAAGCATGACATAATATGATACTGATGCAAGGGGACTGGTGTGAGGGGACTGGGGCCTGAGGAGAGGTCCTGAGGGGACATGGATGAGACTGATGTGAGGGGACGGAGTTGGAGGGGCCATGTTCTGAGGGGATAAAGGCCAGGTGCTGAAAGGGCAGGTGGAACAGGACAGGCCCTGCCTGCCTCCCCCGGAGCTGCCAGCGCTGCTTCCCGGGAATCCCAGCAGGAAGCCCCAGCAGTGATGTCCGGTGAGTGTCAATCCAACATCCAGCCAAGGGAGAGGCCACTCAAAGTGGCTAAAGCAGCAAAATCATAGTTGAGATAAAACAGAGGGAATAATATCAGACTGGCCAAATGAGAGAAAAAAACCAATATATTAGTGGTGGAGCACCCAGAGTTGCACAAGAGGCAGTCTGTGACATGTTTAATGCTTTGTAAAGTTGGGTTTGGATGTTTTTCCCTAGTGGTGCTTTGATATTTTGCTTCCAAACTGAAGCAAATCAGGATCTCCTGCTTTTTCCTCACAGAAAGCTGGGATGGTGAACGCAGAGAGTCCTCTAGTGGAAATGCTGCTCATCCTGCCCAAACAGCTGCTTTCCTTGTGTACTTTAAAACTTTTCTAAGCAAATCAGCTATCCAAGCAAAAGAGTTATTTTGGAGCTTTTCTTGATGTATTTATACCCACCATTGGGCAACATGACCCACCACATTTGAAAAATAGAACAAAACAGGGAGACAAAACTATTAGGATTTTTATTTTTGGGCTACCTGCTGTTGAGTGGTCATGACTTGTATTTTGAAATGGAAAAAAAATAATTGGTCCTTAGTCTTCTGCTATTCCATGTGTACACCTACCTCAAGTTTTTTCGGGCACATTTAGCACTTTCTCAGCACCTTTGTGGGGCTTTTGGGGTTTGTGAGTGGGACAGTTGGCAGCAGTGTAACTCTGAGTCTTCTTTTGGTGTTTCTACAATCTTCCAAAATACAAATAAATAATAATTGGCACTAGTTTAATTAGCAGTAAAATGGGAAAATATATTCCCATCAGTCGAGATGTTTTCTCTGACACCAAGGAAATGCATCCCTTGGCTCCATTTATCAGTCTTTAATTGAATTATTTGTGTCCACTGCTAATTTTATCTTATTAGGAACTCTCAATTTGGTTTCAAAGTGGGTCCTTAAATCTCCATGTGTTCTGAATTTCTCTGCTTAAAATGGAGAACATTATGTAAGGTAGGTCTGCAAACATAATTCTTTCAGGTCAAGGTAGTCTTTGATCTCCATGTCAATTAAATGCTTCAGCTCCTTGAGCTGTTGGATTGGGAGATAAAAGGTTCTTCAGAACTGTGATCTGAAGTTTTGTGTGGTTTTATTGCTGTTTTTTTTCTTCTAGCACAACTTACTAAGGAGAAAAGCTCAGGTAGATTTTCAGTGCTTGATGAAATAAAATCTCAACCATAATATTCTTACATCTCACAGAGAAATTTTACATTTGGTCACTTACTGTCCATGCTGTTGCTTTAGAAGCCTTGTTTTGGGTTGGTTTGTATTTTCTTGTATTACAGTAGAATTTCTCAATAGATGCTTCCCACTTTTGGACAGATGGCAGTTTTTGGAGAGGACCTTGGCTTTGCTCTGTGCATCAGCTGACAAGGTTGCAACTGGTTTGAAACACAAGTTGTAAATCCTCAGTGTACTCCTTTTCTTTTTTTCCCCTTTATTTTTCCAAATGGCAGGCACTTTTTTCTTCTACCAAGCCATCCTCAACTTAAAAGTTGCAATATTTCTGTTACCTCCATCTACATTTGAAGAGCTGGCAGGATCCTACAGGTTATTGATTTATTGTATTGTATTGTATCTTTTAATTCCAGGTGTAAATGAGATATCTAAAATCTTAAAAATTTTAAAAATCACCATTAGAATCTTTTCGTATCAGATCTTTTAAGACCAGTGATCTGAAGCAATATATTTGAGAAAGAGAAAGCTAAAAAGGGTTTTGTTTTTTTCCAAATATTTCATTTCTGAAATTCTACATTCAACCTCAGTATCCAATCATGCCCCAGATTATCTGTATCAGGGAAAATGTGATTTATTCAATAATGTAGTGATGTTAGTGCGACTGCTGCAGCCTGGGTGTGTGAATTGGCTTTTTGACTCAAACTTAGGAGCTTTCCGAATGTTGATTTCCGAATATTCTCCATGATTTCCTGGCCCTGATATAAATTCCATTCCGGCTGTACATCCGCACGTTTCCAGCAGATGGCAAGAGATTCCCGGGGAACTCGCTGGGAATCACGGCTGTGCAGACGATGCTTACGAGTCGCACGTCTTTATTTAGTGCTTCAGGGTGTTGAGAACTGATTTAAAAATCAGTTTAAAATGGAAAAAAACCCTTTGGGTAAATGATTGCATTAATCTCAAGTACAGCTTGAGCCATCGGACACGGGGTCTGTTCCTGACCAGGCTGACCAGAAACTCCTCCCTCCCAAAGGCTCCAATGAAAGCATCATTATGGCAGCGACTTTTCCAGACAATTGTTGCAAAAAGGGGAAAATCGCTACTAATTTCACCTCGGCAGAAGACAGGTATCCTGTTAGTACTTGAATTCCTGACTCAAAATCTTCAGCTATATTAAGACCTTTCAAGCTTCCAAGGTTTTAAAGATTTAGTAGGGATTAGAATGATGCTTTCACACAGTGAACTAAACAACAAAGAAATTGAGAGAGACAGCTCATATCTCCAAGTGCATGTGAAGTGTGAGTAACCAGTTCTGGAGCACTTCAGAATAAAAATGCCTCCCCATAGAATGTCTCCAGCAGATCAAACCAGCAGCTCTCCAGCCTACTTACTGTCTTCCTTTGCCAAGGAAGAGACTGGATATTGTTTCCACTGAAATAACTGGCACTGAAATCCTTGGGTGCAGTGGGAATGAATTTGGGCCAGATGCCACAAAGTTTGGATAAAAATAATAAGGCAAAGCATTAATATATTTGAACATAAACTGGAGTAAAGCAGATATTCTACATAATATCAAAAATCACCATGGCAATTCTTTGTAGATTTTCTTGCTGGCTTGAATATTAGTGTTTTTCTAGCCTGTGTTAAAATAGACAAAATGAATAATGTTTCAAGACTATTTTAAGCCAACACCTCCCTTCCTTGTCTGTCTTATATAAGATAGAAGCAACCAGAAGCTGACTCTCTTGTTGACACCTCATTAGCCAGGAGGAGAAAGAATTCTCAGAGTAGCCCAAAGAACACATCTTTAAAAGCAACTAAACCCAAACCTTTGTGCTTCTGTATTCACTTTTTCAGGATATTTAAACAACCTGTTTGATTTTACAATATATGTGCACTGTAATTGATAAAGAAAATGTGGAACCTCCTGTCCTTTATGCACATACAAGGTTGTGTATGTAAAAGTTTCACCCACAAAGATGAGGGTAGGATAATCTTAAATACATCTGTAAAAATTGGAGTTAAAGATGTACAGAAATAGCTATTTTGTATTTGTTTAAAGCTGGTAGAAATGCAGCAATAGAGGAAGAACAGCCTGGATGGAACATTATACCAGATGTTTTACAGATTACTCTGTATTTCATCACTCAGTCTTTGTTTAATCTTAAGGCTGTAGTAATTGTAATACTGGAATAGCTCAATGGCCTATATATGGTTTTGCTTCTTCCAGCTCTGCCTGTTCCAACTGGCCAAAGCTGGCCAATTATTTATTACTGTGCAAAGAAAAATGTTCTCCCTACTCCACTTGGTAAGCCCATGAATGAAAATGGAGTTTTGTGATATTTGTGCTTGAGATTACCTACCCAATGAACCACTAATGCAACCTGGATTTGATAGTAACTTATGTTAGCCAGCAGCTATGTTAGAGATGTTTGGGCCAAAATTAGGAAGAGATGGAGAATTTGAGGCATGACTTAAACATCTTTTCTCTCTATTGTACATATGGGGTGAGTGGTGTGCAGTGTGAGAGAGTGAAACAGGGAGGAAAGAGTGTGTTTGTGTGGGAGTGTGTTTGTGTGGGAGTGTGTTTGTGTGGGAGTGAGTGTGCTGCTTAATTATCACAGGGCTGAGTTTCTTGCCTTTTATGTAATAATCATTGGAAGGTGCAAAGGTTTGGCAATTGAGACTTTCACTCTTCCTGTTTCTCATACCTGGGCAATAAGGTTATATTGGTTTTGCCTTATATGTTCTTTTGCCAAAGAAAAAGGAAATTTCCTCTTCTTTTCCCCTTTCCAAAAGGAAAAAAAAAAAGGGAAAGAGAGCTGAGGATCAAGTGAAACAGAAGTATTGCAAGAGTTAAAGAAAGATAAGTTTCCAGAGGTTTTCAGTGTCTCAGAAATGCAGAATATTTGGATTTACTTTTTTGGACCAATCTTTTCATGGAACAGTGAACTCCCAATAACATCTGATTAGTTCTGTTCCTGCTATATTTTCTGACAGTCTGGGCTTGACTGTCTCCTCAGATTTGTTTTTACTGTGCAGGACTTAGTAAAAGAAATAGCTGTGGCACAAAGCTGGTACAAGGAGAGAGCAGATCCCTGGTGCATTATGTAATGAGGGGCTTAAATCCTCAAATTAATTCTATTTAAGATACAGTGCCTTTCTCATCTATCTACCAAATCTATGCAAAACCACATATTCATTGCCAAATTTGTATTCAGTTTTCATTGGGAAGAATCAGCTCTTCATGTTTGTAACATATATTGCACACAATGTTATTTTAATATCAAACAGGCTTTCAACCATAGCATGGTTTAAGCTGCTGTAATGAACAGGGCAGATTTTTTTCTTCAGATTTTTTTCTTAAACAAAAATATTCTCAGAAACTTTCAAGAAGCTTTTTGTTATCAGTTCTGCTTCAGAGCCAAGCACACAGGGTGCTGTTCTGCTGCTCACCAGAAGTGCTTTTCCAGGGTAATGACTGGGAGCATTTAAAATCAGAGCAATCGCATTAAGTGTTTTGTTGTCCCAACAGCAGAAGCCTCATTGAGCTAAATTGGTTTTGCTACATTATCTATTGGATTAGCAAACCAGTTCAAAACTGATGGGAGAGCTTTTACTTTAACTGGGGTAAATGCTTTCATTTTTACCCAGAAACAGGACAGACCTTTCTGGTTTTTAACCTCTTCATAGTGCTGTCACTATTCATGCCAGCATTACCTTCAAACAAATGCAGCATCTTGCTCTTCTTATCTTTCCTCTTGTGCTTTCTGATCCTTTCCAGCCTCATGAGGCAGCAATAGCTATTTTTTCACATCAGTGCAGCATTGTGCACAAGTGGCCCCCAGAAAGCTCTCATGAGCACACAATGGTGCTTCCTCTTCTGTTCCAAGGCCAAAGGAGAGTTTTGCAAACCCTTGGGCACTGAAAAGGCAGGATGTCATTATGGGCTGAAATCTCTAGGGTCATTCTGATTTTCCTTCTAATGCATTTTATCTTCCAGTTCAATAGTTGGGATGCCTATTTTGTCCGTTTATAGAAGCTCCAATTTCTGTATATCTACATTTTATTAACACTTCACATTTAGAATGATTACATTAACACATATCCCACTCTTTTTCTCACAGACACGCCAGTCCATAGAGCAGTACTATAAATTGCTGAAAGGAACACAAATGCTTTCAGGTGCAGCACAGAAAAAGTGCCTTCTCATCTGTCACATACTGGTTTTTTATGGCACTAGTACAACCCATCCAAAGTCAGCATTCAACTGCCATCAAATCTGGCTTATTTCACTTTATTTAGGGCATCATGAAATTAGAGTTGAAATGGAAATTGTCTTTAGATGTTAACAGGTCTAAAGCAGTAATGTCTGAGGATTTTTAAATATGATGATTTCAAATGGAAAAAAAAAAGTGAAGTACACACAAAAATATAGAAGATTCAAATTTATGCAAAACTCCAATCAATGCACCATACTCCTTACTGAAATGTCTCCTCAAAAGTTTGAATGGCATCTGAATTTTCAGCTTCTGGCTCTGGAAACCAATTTAAGCAAATCTCCCTGTTGTTGATGGAGGTGTTTTGTCTTGTGCTACTCATGCAAGTGCAACAAGAGCAGCTGAAACTCCAGTTCCCCCTCAGATCCCCTTGTTTCTGCAATGGACACGTTGCCATGTGTGTGCTCACAGGGCACTTCTCCAACTCCCTGCAACCTTCTGAGATATTTTTGCCTTTTATTTATGCTTCTGTCTACATCACTGTAGGCACTCTGACATTCTGGCTTTGGGTTTTTTGAGGAGATTGCTGCCACCTTTTACTTTGATCAGTCACGCTGAGCTGTGCACCTTGAAGATCTGCAGGCAAACTGGAGAAAAAATTCACTGAATAAATCTTGTGGAGCAGCCAGCAGGACCTGCAGCCTGTGACTGTCTCCCAGATGGAGAAGCAACTAATTCTGTCCAATAACCCCATGTGATCAGTCAGTTGGCTGCAGTGTAAGGAGTTATGTCAGGTGCACAATTCCAAACCATTTCTGCTGAAGTAATTAGATTAGACATTGCCTTTACAATATCTGCAGCCACCTTCTTGCTAATTACTCTCAATAACCAGCCACTGCACACTAGAGGGACCAGGGCAGTGCTTCCTTCTCTGCTTTTTAATAACTTTAATTCCCAAATCATGGATTATTTTCTTATGATTTGCACTCCTCAGGAACTTGCTGTGAATATTCCTCCAGCTGGATTTAGTCAATAATTTCACTCTTAGCAGAAGTTACCAACACTGACAGACTACATAATAAACTAATAGCTGGAGAAAACAGAGGGATACAAAAAGGCTGGATTCTGCTTTCCCAGAAAAAGTAAATCTGATTTTAAACTAAAGATTATTTCTGATTTTTACAAGTATAACAGAGAAGGTGGCAGCACCATGCTCTTTCCAAAAGATGTTGTATTTTTGTGGTGATGGATCATGGAAAAAGCAACAACTTAGTATGGAACAGGCATTGTAAAGTCATGCTTCTGCTGCTTTTATTCCACTCTGCATTAAATCATTGTATGGAGCAGTAGGATTTATTCAGAGGAAGGCAGAAGAGGTTGCGTTTCCTTGGAGAGAAAGTGATTATGACCAAAAACACACTTAGAAAAAAATATAGTGTATTTCTGAAATGCAGCATTCCATCAGCATCAGGAACAAACAATAAGAAAAACAAATTAGAAAGAGGAGAAGCAGGAGGGAAAGAAAAAAGCTTGATTACCTGAATATATTGAAAGAGATGCAGATTTTCATTTGCTTTTCAAGTAAGGTGACATTTGAGTGATACTTGGCCTTAATTCAGCATGTGAGCCTGAGAAACAATGGTGCATGGTACCATGAAAGTACTGATTGGTGCACTTACCTAGCTGGAGGACAGGATTTGTGTCTCCTGAAGAGCTTTTCTTCTGGAAAACTCAGAGATACAGGAAAGAAATGACTCTAGCCATTTTTCAGACGATGCAGGGGCAGGGTTTGACTGAGATTCCTCAGCAGCTCAGGGTGAGATGTGGGAGCAGAGCCCAGGGGTGTCAGTTTGGTGGTGAGGGCTTGGTTTAACAATCACAGCTCGGTGTCTCTTGGGGTTTTCCAGCACTCTCTTGGCTGATAGAATTTCCATGATAACAGAAACTAAAGATTGAGGTGAACCTAACCTACAATGGAGTATATTTTCTATTACAGCCCAGTTCAAGATCATTATTTTTTCTTCAAAGCGTTCTCTTACTTCACTGATATGAGCAAATCTCATTCTAAGTTATAAATCAGTGCTAAAATGTTTTAACTTTCCGTGCTGGTCATGTGAAATCAAACTTTAAATTTAACTTCTATTCAACTTCTATTTAAATCACAGCTGAGTTAAGGCAGGAGGAACATGCACAAACTCCACAGGGATCAAACCCTCCTTTCACCCTTATTGCAACTATTTCTTGTCAGCCACACGTCCAAGAGCTGCATCCTGAATCCAGCAAAGCTCTTCCCTCACCCCCAGCCCCTGCCTTGGTCTCTCTCCATGCCCCTTTCCATTTTCATCTTTGCTTCCTTCTCTCCCTCTCTCTCATTTCACCTTTTCTTTTGTGGCAGTCTCTATTTTTAAAGCAACCTCTCACTTTCAAGGCAACAGTATCCTGAAAATAAATTGTCCTTTTGTACTGTATTATATTGGCTTCCTACATCAACAATATTTCAGTTGTTATAATCCATATTCCAATATATTTACTGTGGAGGTTTTAGAGAATTATTGTGAAAGTAGTTTGTTGTGAGTACTCTGTTCACTTGCTGAGCTCACTGAGATTATTTACAGAACCAAGTGTTATTTTGCATGAGTTGGGTGAGAGATCTCGTCCTGAATTAAGCAATGTGTATGAGGACCCATAAATTTCACTGTTGAATAATGGAAGTGGAGAGGCTTAAGAGATTAGGTCAGCCTCTGAATAAAACCAGCAAAAATATCCAAAGCAACGGAATAACTTAAAGACAGTTATGAAATTTTTTTACTTCCCTCAGCTATTTAGGGACAGATTCAAAAAGGATATTTTCAGAGGCACACATGGTAGATTCTCAGTGAAAATTAACAGAACAAATTCTAAAGTCACTCCTGCAAATGGAGTCTGACTTCCTTCGTTATCGAGCACCTTTCAAATTTTCCCCAATCTAACACAGGAAGCCTGAGCTTTCTCTGTGGTTCTAAACCACTTTATCTATTTTGGGGCCTATTAAACTAATAAACATTTCTGTGTTTAAATGTTTAAACTTTCATTAGCTCAGATCTGAAATGTAATACAGTCATTATTAACAATTCAGTAGAATTTTATGTAGTATATTTTATTTCATGCTGTGACTAAGAGCATTGAAATTTTTCAATACTTTACCCAAGACAAATAATATTTTAAGAAAAAGCCTCCACTCCCCTCTATTCCCTTTTACTTTGTTCATGAGATTTTTCTGATTAAAAACTCCAACTTTAGCACTACTGTTAAACCTAGGCCAGCCCACAGATGCAGAAAACCACTCGTGCAGAAGTGAGGAATGAGCTCTTTCATTACAAATAAAAAGGAAATTATCTGAGTGTGAAAAGCCAAATCTTCATTACTGATCAACCTTGAAGTGGAGGAAAACCATGGTCATTTAAGATTTAAACTTTTGCTACAAATATGTACATATGAAAAGTTGTCTCATGGAATTACAGGAAAGGAAGAGCTGGACTTGTTTGGCAGAGTGCAGTCTCAGGTATCAAATCAGGTCAGCAATAAATTGCTGCTTTAAGTAGGAATTCATAGCAGGACCTTCTTGGCTTTGGAAGTGTTTGAGCTCGTTGGAAAATACTTTGAGAAGAGGAGCCTCCATTCAGTTTCAGTGAGGGCTTTTTAGCCTGTGGGTATTGTTCAGTTTGTAGGTCTTGGGAAGAATTTTCCTTTTTTTGTTGCCTTTACATTGTGTATGCAACCCAGTATATAACATTGACTGCTGCAAAGGCTGCTGGGAACACGGCTCTGGCATAAATGTCAATGGTGTCAGCATCAATGGGCTTAAAGAGGGACTTCAGGCCTCCCTTTTTGTCCAGTTTCATTCCCTGCTGCTGTTTTGTCTCTCCAGTTTCTATTTCTATTGTGCCATATGATCCTGGCAGGCTTCTGGGAATTCGGTGCTGCCTGTTGGAAATGGCCAGTTCCTGGTTCACCCCAGCTATGGAGAGGGAAAACAGAACAATGGCATTCTTCACGTTGATCTGCAAAGGAGAGAGGAGAAAAATGGCAATTTACAGGGCAAGGACAGTGTCATTTATCCAAGCCCTCAGTGGCAGCAGCATGCTGAAACACCCCTGGGATCCATATGTGGAGAATGGGATTTAGCCCCTGCTTTGGCAGAACTGATGGAAGCTCTGAGCTACCACATATAATTCTGGTTATGGCTTTCCATGCTCTGAATTACTGAGGCACCATCCAGAACATTCTCAAAGCTTTTCTCAGGAAGAATTTGGAGTAAAAGGTCACAAAGCAGGGTGATTGCTGTGGCAAAGTTATTCCCAGAATCACACTTACTGACCTCTGCACTCTGCCTTCTCGCCTTGATCTTGTTCTTCTGCTTTTTCATGTAGTCAGCATTGAAATGTGCAAAGGCATATTCCACCAGAGCAGCAAACACAAACACGTAGCAGATCCAGAAGTAAACGTCCAGGGCCTTGATGGCAGAGGCTCGTGGGAGCGAGGATCGGGCACTGACCATCAGGGTGGTCATTGTGAGAACTGTGGTGATACCTGCAGGGTGCCATGGGAGAGAAATAGGTGCACTAATATACATAAATAGATTTATTAATATGAATTATTATCATTTTCACAGTAAAAGCCCCTTAATACTGTGGCTTCTGATTTTCAAAACTTTTAAGAAACTGCATTTGTATGACTAAGGCAGCTTTGAACAAATTATTCTTGGTTTTATCCTAGATCAGGAGAAACAAAACCCAAATAATTAACCCTCAAACACTTTCACATCTGGACTGGCAACTCTTCATCAGACAAAAAGACCCACAAGCTTCAGGAACATTTTTTTGCCACTGTCCCAGTTCCTTCAAATCAATTCTTTCATTTCTTTCACAGTCATTACTGCTTTTAACCCTCCCTAGGTGCTTATTTGCTGTTCCTTACTGAGGAACTGCTCTGATAACACGACAGAAATGAAACCAGGAGAGAAATCTTTCAAAGAGCCCTCCCTTCTGCCAATGTAAACACAAATGCACCTTAATGAGGATTATCAGAGCACAATTGCCACTGGAGCACTGCCTTCCCCTGAGCCCCCAGCCCTCTGTGTTACCTAGGGACACCCTGGCAGGCACGGCGGACTGGCTGATCCAGAAGGACACCCACGACATGGCCACCAGCAGGATGGAGGGCACGTAGGACTGGATGATGTAAACGCCCCGGTTCCGCCGAAGGTGGAAGTGGAGACTGAGCCTGGGAAACTGACCTGCTGGAAAGGAGAGCAGGCACAGCAGGTTCTGGCTGTGGGAATTACACTTAGACTGATATTTAAATGACATTTCAGATAACGACACAGAGCTACACTCTTTAGCATCCTCTGCACAGGGGTCACAAAAAGCTTTTTTGATGCTGTTGGATGGATGCTTCCTAAACCCTGCACGAGGTTCTGCAGCTTTCATCAGCTAAGAATAGGTCAAATGATTTGTCTCAGGTCATATCAATGCCAGATCTGAAAATAAAATCATGAGTCTTCTCAAATAACAGTATTGCTTCAAAATGTGTACTGTCTTATCATCTGCTGTAGAAAGTCCTCCAGATACTAAATTTAGATTTTTTAAAAGGCCAAGTTAATTTCAAACTCAAAAAAGAGCTTAGAGGAGATGTGCAGCATAAATGAGAATCTGAATACATGAAAGAGGATGAAAAATCAGCAGGAAAGAAATGACTCCAATCTTGTACAAACATTGCAATAAGCCCAGTGATAGACATACACACCACTGACTTCTACGGGGTAGAATTAGACTGATCTGACTGTACGTCATAAGCCCCAGAACATCAGGGCTAATGGAAATTTTTCTTGATCTGAAGTTGCAAATTAGGTCAAGAAAATGTGAGCTATACCTCAAGTGCTTTTATCAAGTGCTGTCTGGCTACTCCACGCAGGATTTTGTCAAGCAGAGAGAGCTGAAGGACAGAACCTGCTACAGTGGCTACCTAGAGGCTCAGCAAAGAATGGCACTTCTCACAAATGGAAGATGAAGGAAACTCTTATCAGAAACCTGACAGGTTCTTAAATTAGTCACTTAAGGAGAAGGATTTTCTGTTATAGATAGAGGAGGTTTCTCTCTGCAGGAAAAAAGTCAGGTACTGTCCCTGAATTGAAGAAAGATTCTGTTACCAGATTTGAAGTTCATGATTTCTGTTGTGAACTGGTAATTGGTAATTGTGAATTGAGCAAGCTGCAGCTTATCCAGCCCATGGATCTCCTCCTGGTTTTCTGACCAGTGGTAGACAATGTCCTCTGAAGAGTAGCCATCTGCCAAAAGAAAGCTGAGTAAACACAAAGTCCAAGGGAGAATTCATAGCAGAAGTTCTCTAATTCCTGTGCTATGCTGATTTCCACCAGACACGTTGCAAACGTACTGAGAGTCAGTCTGGATCATTCTCTCTGCTTTGGAGAGGTGCAGGGCACCACAGCCATGACAGAAAGGGGGATATGAATGAGAGGGTTTATGTAATATGCAAATCCACAGGAAATCAATCTTTCCTACTTCTGCTGTTCATTGACAACTTGCTACTAAAGCATCCATTTCTTTAAAGAGACTTTATTTCTGTTTGCCTCACTGAAATGAAAACCCTCAAATTCAATTAAACCCTTCAACCCCCACCAAAACTCCCTGCAGAACTCCCTGGGAGAGGGAAGGAATTGCTGGGGCACTGTCTGCTGCCTCTGCATTTGCTGATTATGTAAGTAAAACTG